GTCTCTGAAGTGGGGGAAGAAAAGAGCCAAACATTAGGGAGGACTGGACTACAGTAGTATCTTCTGGATGATAGAGCCACTAAACTCATGAAAGCAGCTATGGTTGCCTATACAAGACATGCACAAGATCAAGGCAGTCAATATTCCAATATGAAGGGGGGAGTAGCTGAGAAGCTACTGACAGTTGACAGCATCCGGGAGAGAGAGAGAGAGAGTCAGTTTTCTTTAAGGGTATATGGTGCCTCGCAGGCTGACCATGCTCCAGGGGATGGCCCCATGAATATATGGGTACCATGAATTGGACTCAGAGGGCTTTAAGAGGACATGAAATTGGGAGGAGGTGAAGGAGTGGGGAGTGGATCTGGGAGGAGTTAGTGGGAGAAGTGGGGGTGAATATGATCTAAATACATTACATGCATGTATGAAATTCTCCAAGGATTAATAAAAATGTTATATTAAAAACAATAAAACATCTACCTGTACAACAAAAAGACTCTTAAGTGATTCTAGGTTGTGTCAGGTTGACAGTTAAAACCGACCAGCAGAAATACAGAGTGAAGAATAGACTCACTTTTGTAAAAAGACTCATGAAGAATTGGTCAATGGGAAAGCTCCTAAATGTTTTCAGTATGATTCTTTATTAAAGATTAGATTTATATACACTTATTAGGAATATGTCAAACCTACATTAGACAGGAAATTTTCCTAATTTTAAAAATTCTTTAATTCTATATTTTAGCTTATTGCATATTATATTAAATATTCTATATTATATTAAAACTGCATCTTCTAATGTTTAATGTTTGCTAATTACTAAATATTGTCAAAAGCATTTTGACCACATGATTTATCACTGCAATAAGATACTTTCTTGGACATTAAAATGCTAAAGATTTCTGGTTAATCTTTCCTTTTCCAAACTCAGGTTCTCTGTAATAACCTAGGTTTAGCCTTCCCACTATGGGGTATCTCTCTCTCTCTCTCCTGTCACTTTTATCAACTCAGAGCTTGAAATGGCATTTCCATTGTATTTAAAAAGCAGTAACCCACTTTATTTTTAATATTTAAAGGTAAAGGGTAAATAATGTAATAGTGTTACATCTCTTCCCTCTTAAACAAAACACAAAAAGAGAAACAACAACAACAAAAAACCACTTGGAGTCTAGACCTTTGTGTCAACTCTTAGAAGCATATTCTACACCCACCATCAAAAGAAGACTGTTTAGGTGGTATTTCCAGACCTCTTTTTCATTAATACTACAGTTTACATTTTCAGGATTGTTTACAAATTATGTGGCTCTTTATGGCCTTTATTCCCATTTCTAGGGTTCCTATGCAAACATGTGGGTTTGGAAATAAGTTCTCTAACCTTAACCTATGTAATAGTTCAGAGAAGGGGATTCAGGAGCACAGGAAGTTGATGTCTGTTAGCAAAGCAAAACAGCTTGGTAAACAGGTTTTACCTAAAGAAACTGTATTTTGAATCATCTTTCAATTACAGGCGTATTTACCCCCAAACTTAGTGCACAGTCTTTCTAAAGTAAGACCAATGTACATTTACTCTATTAATTTTCCTTTAACATCATTAAAATATTTGTCACTTTTTCCATGTATATTTTCTCTCTATATATAATCATGTCTTCTTTACCTTTTGTCTGCTCAGTTATTTAATAATTCATGGCATTTGGTTTAATACATCAATTTATACTTTAGCATCTAACTATACAACCCCATAGGCTATTTGATTACTTTTAAGGCTCTACTCTATGAGAGCAAATGCACTTAATGAGAATACATGCACAAAATGAAGTCTGATTTACAGAAAGCATTACATTTCCAGCTACTCTAATCTCCAAATAAGAGAACAAATTTTTTTCAAGAACACATAAAATAATTAAATGTGACACAGAATAAGATTTTGGGTTTAGCAAATGCTGTCATTGGAAACATATTATTTTGCTTTTTCCCTCACTGCACTCTTCACATGTTCACTGCTCCTGCTACAATTTATTGTTACTAAACAAGACAAATATATTTATGACTTATGTCTTATTAATGCATGATTTTTTTCCTCTGGCTAGAATACATTCAGGTTGTTTATTTGCTTATTTAGATTTAACTTATTCTTCCAAGCCCAACTGAAATGCTATATTGTCCCCCGGGGCAGAATGAATCATTATTCCCCTTTGCCTTATACAGTATTTTGTGCTCTTTATTTTTCCCTCACACTACACTGATTGATTTTTATGCCCAGTTCCATTAGGCTGGATGCTATTTGAGGGCAGGAACTCCAGGTGTGCTCCTTCTTTCCCAGAATCTAACGCAGTCCTTATAGTGTCTGTGCTGTTTACACTAAGGCACACTGCTCTTTTATCTTCCTACTTCATTCAAATATTTATAATTTCAAATATATGTATTTGTTTTACTAATTCTGTTTGTTATTTATTCTATTCACATTTAAATATAAATTGCTTATAGTTATGTTTATTAAGTAGCAGTTAAAGAATATAAAAACAGAATTATAAAGATCTCTGCATATACAATTTAAAACTAATTGTAAATTGCTGTTTGGCTTAGTTTAATCATATAAAGCATGCAGGGTTCTTGTTAGGATTAATTAAGAGAACTTTACAAACATAGTAAGATAATCTTTATGAGACTACTGGTAAACCATCATATCCTACAGATTATTTTAAGCATGAAGCAAATTACTTTTGGATAAATGACTCTTGTATTCTAACCATAAGTACTCAAAACTGGGGTTTCAATAATATTTTAATATCGTTAATAAATATGAGACAAAATGAATGAAATATTTTAAAAGCTCCGAATATGTGCTTAATATTGACAAGAAGCCTGCTTATCTATCTATCTATCTATCTATCTATCTATCTATCTATCTATCTATCTATCTATCTAACATCTATCTATCTTCAGAAACTGTGCCTTAAATTTTCTAGGAAAGCTATCTTTTCTTGGAAATAATTTGAATTATCATGCTATAATTTCATTTATAAACATAAAAATAATTCCCTTAATTTCTGTTACTAGCAAAGGACACAGAGTGATTTAAATATATCTGGGTTACACATGTTTCTTGTATTTTCTACTCTGATTAAGTGTTCCTACCAAAAGTGCCACCAATAGTGCTGACTCATTCACACCAATAGTGCTGACTCATTCACACCAATAGTGCTGACTCATTCACACCACATACACAGTTAAGACCTGGGTTCAATTTCAATAGACACCTCACCAATCCTTCACCACATACAACACTCCATCGGGATCCTACATGCATATCTCATACCCTGACCTATTTCATCTTTTCCTATCAATATTTAAGCAGTTCTCTTTGCAAACTCTTCCCACTACAATCCAGGTATCCTAGTTCTGGCATTCTTTTTGAAGTGCCCCTCACTTCCCATGAAGTTGGACAGCATACACTTCTTTCCATCCCTTGATTTGCACCTTGCTTTCCATCCTTAAATTCGCAATCATCCTTCAGTCCTAAAAGTCACATCTACTCCAAACAACCTAATCACTGTTGAAGAACAATCATACCAGTTGTGCAGATTCATTCAACAGAACACTAATCGATAATTTCATCTTTCCCTATACATACTTATATCTATCAATAGCTTACTTTCAAGTGGATTCCTCTTCTAGTCTGTTTTATGAGCTATCAAAAACTATTGCCACTTTTGGGCTGGGCATGGTGGCACCTGTCTTTAATCCCAGCACTCAGGAGGCAGAGGGAGGTGGCTCTCTATTAGACAGAGGCCAGCCTGGTCTACAAATCAAGCTCCAGGCCAGCTGGGGCTACAGGGATACCCTGTCTCAAAAAACAAAGAAAATCAAACCAACCAACCAACCATCCAAACAAGCAAACAAAAACTACTGCCACTTTCTTTAGTTGTTCACCTCTTGGTCCATTTAATTCTCAGCAGCTGGTTTGACTTATATTTCATAGAAAATTATGATAATCATATATTAATGCTACTTCCTGCCCACCCTCAGGTGGTAGTAAAAGCTTATTATCCAGCCTTGCAATCAGGAGAAAATAGTACTTCACATCCTTTTTAAGCATTCTGTCTTGGATGCTCTTAGCAGCATATCCTCCTGAGCTGGGTGATAATGTAGGTCATTCATCCTTGCTGACAGTTTTCATGTTCCTCCTTACTCAGTTGGCTCTATCTCCACCATGAAGTTTTCTTGTTCTCTGTTTTCTCTATACCTTCTGTCTCTGTTCTCCTTTGGAAGATGATGCTCCCAGGTCCCTTCCACTGCCTTGTCATGCTCTGCCCTCTAGTTCCTAACATCCATGTCCAAATCTCTCTGAATGTCTCCAAGATATCTCCAGTGCCCCAAACATTCCTTAAGCCTCTCTTTAGTCTTATTAATTTTTATCTCATCTGCTGATACCAGAAATCTTTCATTTCTTACTTTACTGTTTAGTTCAAATTCTCGCCACCATCTTAGATGACTGTCACATTCCCCCTTTCCTATCTTCATGCTCTGGTCTCAAATCTCCTTTATATATAATTATTGGAGTCAACTTGCTAAAAATAAACCATACAGTAACTTCTACATCATTCTTAGAACTTCTCACTGGTTCTTTAGTCACTTGCCAAGACTTGTGATGATCTCATTTCTAATTCGGCAACCTCATTCATTCATCATTCCAACCTTTACCCCATAACTTACAAAATGAAGCAAAGGAATAACAATGTTTCAAACTCTCTTGAGCACACACACCTGTGAAGTTCCAAATTATTTTGTGTGTGTAATGTTGCTCTAGCTGTAACAGCCTTCCTAGATGCACATATCTGACAAATTCTCTGTAACCTTTAAATGCTACTCTAGTCCCCCTTGCCTGAAACTTTTCTTTTTAACTGCCACAGCCTCATTAGACAGAGTTACTACATCTTCCTGCGGGGCGACCCCATTCAGTTTTTACACATTATAAATTCTAAAAGAGCTGGTAATAGCTACTTTACCTTCAGGGGCATCTGCATCACATCTCTTTGGCATAGAAAGGGTCGAATTGCCTTTATGAACATCAGAAGTTATATTGTTCTGAAAGATGAAAATATAGTTAAAATATAAACATTATAGCCATGAACATATTTGGATTGAAGACATAATCACATTGTGAACTTCATTTTCCACTTTCTACTAATTACATCTAATTTTCTAAAAGGTAAATTTAACACAAATTATAAGACAAGTTATGGTAGATTTAATATTAAGATGTCTTGCAACAATATTTTTAGGTCATATACTAAATGACAGAACTTCTTCCCAGAATTATTATGACATCACAAAAGGGGGAAAAAAAGCTGTAGTGGCCTTACACCTAGGATTATGTTTGTAGTCCCAGCCGTTGGGAGTCTGAGGCAGAGGATCATGAGAGAAGACTCTGTTTGAAAAACATCCCCTGTCACATACACAAAAAGAAAGAGACAGAGACAGAGACAGAGACAGAGACAAAGAGAGGAAAAGAGGGTAGAAGGGAAGAAGAGACGGAAGGAGGAAGGGAGAAAAGAGAGAAAGAGGGAAGGGAGGGAGGGAAGGGAGGAAGGGAAGGGAGGAAGGGAGGGATGACGGGAGGGGAAGAAGGAAGAGAGGGAGGGAGGGATGGAGGGAAGGAAGGAAGCAGAGAGGGAGAGAGGGAAGGAGGAAAGGAGAAAGGAGAGAAGGAGGGAAGGGAGGAAGGGAAGGGAGGGAGGGAGAACAGGAGGAAGGGAAGGGAAGAGGAAGAGAGGGAGGGATGGAGGGAGGGAAGGAAGGAAGGGAGGGAAAGGCGGAAGGAAGGGAAAGAAGGAGAGGAAAGGAGAAAGTGAGAGGGAAGGAGGGACGAAGGAAGGAAACAGGAAAAAGTGTGTTCTTACCATGTAAAGTTATAATCTTCATTTGTAGAATATTTACTGAGCATGACCTAGTGACGCAGTGCAGGGATGAGGCAGAAGGAGAATAAAGGGTCTGAACAACAAAACAGTTCCGGTGATCTAGTATGGTGTTCCCAAACTCAGGGATCACAAAGATCTATGATGTAGCTGTTCACCTACATTACTAACTAATATATTCAATAAAGTAGTGATTTAATACTTTTTAAAACGAGAGATGTTACTGATGGCGGGACTGATGTGCTTGTTTTTCAAATTTCATGTTAAAGTAAATGAAGAACAGAACAAGTACAGGATGAAAGAGATCTGGATGGACTGGATTAATACTGAAAGACACCATTAAAGTGATGTGTGAAACACAGCTAGGCTGTGACTGGAAGTCCAGCAACAGCTATTTGAGGAAAAGGAAAGATACTAGAAGACATTGAATCCAAAATAGTCAAAATATTTTAAATCGCCCAAAATCCAAAGCTTGCTGTCCAATTAAACTTAAAAAAGCACTGCTGACTTTTGATTAGACAACAATATCAAGAAATGAGGAAAACAGCCCGGAGGAATCTGTCATGTTTTGGGTAAAAAAAAAAAAGCCCAATTATTCACAAGGTATCAGGGAAGCCTCTCTTGTGAGATTCACAGTAACAATGGACAAGCACAATGCACTTTCCAGAACTTTTTGGGGACACATTATTAAAATTATTTAAAGAGTTGCTTTAGAGGAGGTTTTATGAGTCATTATGAATCAAGTGCTGAGGAAAAGCACAGCCATTTAGTATTACAGCACCACTTAAGACATACTTTATAATAAAACTATATGTTATCTTATAAAGTATAAAACAAACATAAATCTACTGAAAATGGAATGAAAAACATTTTAGCAATAATTATCTCTGTATTTTTTAATTTATATAAATTTTTAGTTTTTTGTTATTATTCCTAAAATAAGGAAATAGCTACAATTTGAAGATTGTACTCACCTCTACTAAGTAGTTCTGGCTTCCATACATTACGTACTGGGGAGCAAGGCTGTAAATCATGTAGCTAGTGTGAAGGACAATGAGTAGAAGGATCATGCAGAGAAACAGGAGTGCTTGAGGCCTGGTTCGCCCTCTTCTGATTTTATACAGCTAAGACGAAGACAGTGATAAACTCTCAGCATTTTACCCTATTCGAAAAGCTGTAACTCACGCTCCTGTGTTCTGGAGAAGTATTTATAGGGTTCAAATGTTCCAACGCTAAGAATTTCCAGCCATTCAAAATAATTATAAGAACAAAAAAGACAATCTTCTACCTGCAAAACTTTTATAGTTATCCTTAGTTTATCGCAAAATAATACCAGAGAATCTACATCCAAAGACTCTTACAAAAATGTTTCATAAAATATATTAAAAAATTAAAAATTAAAGTGATTTAATAACAGGAGGCAGAGGCATCTGGATCTCTGTGAGTTCAAGGACAGTCTGGTCTACACAGTGAGTTCCAGGCCAGCTGGGGTTAAGGTGACCCTGTCTCATAAAGACAAAAAAAAAAAAAATGTGGTAATTGTTACTAGCTTTCACACTGCTGTCTTCAGATAAACCTTCTAGGCTTACTATGCAAAAGCATCTTTCAGAAGTTCATAGAACTAAGAGCTGTGAGCTATGTCTAGTTCTATTTGAAAATTCAGAGCAAGAATTTAAACTATAGGTGTAGCAATATGGTTATGGTTTATATTTTTATTTCTATATAATATTCCCACATAAGAACAGATGTGACATATTTGTAAGTATTTGTTTCTATAAAATAGCAATGACATCCTCATATTTTGCTTTAAAATTAGTTTATGATAATTTAGGATATCTGATTATAGATAATAGTATTTTTATCTATATGAAAGGGGAATTAAAATGCTAACTATAATGTAAGGATCTATGTGAGTTGTTTCATTTTAATAGTGAGCCCCACTTTCACTTTAGTCATCCAGGGAAGCCTCCTCCCTGCCACATTACCAGACAGTAATATAGTGTAGACTAAAAGAATTCCTATTCTGGGTGACATGACAGTAAAATCACATAGAAACATACATTTCCCAACTTCTTTTATACCTAGATGTGGCCCTATAATCATAAAATATTCCTAGAGAGAAACCCAAAGAATTATTGTATTGTTAGGCCTAATATTTTAACTACTAAACCAATGCTAAGGGCTTATTTTTGCTCCATAGTTAGAAGTTTTCTTTAGTTCAAACACATTTAGGGGCTGGAGAGATGGCTTAGTGGTTAAAAGCACTGACTGCTCTTGCAGAGGACCCAGGTTCAATTCCAGCACCCACATGGCGGCTAACAACAGTCCACAACTCCAATTCCAGGGGGTCTGACACCTCCTTCTGACCTCCGTAGGCATTGTACGGGATAGGTGGACTTATACACCTCCAAGAAATACACTCATGCACATAAAATAAAAATAATAAATAAAATATTTTTAAAAAAGAAAAAACCCAGGACAGGAGAGATGGCTCAGCGGTTAAGAGCACTGACTGCTCTTGTAGAGGACCTGGATCCGATTCCCAGCACCCACATGGTGGCTATGTACTGTCCTTAACTCCAATTCCAGGGGAATCTGAGGCCCTCTTCTGACCTCTGCAACATTGCGTGACATGGGTGCACTCACATACATGCAGACAATACATTCATACACATAAAATAAAAATAATAAAAAATATGAAAAAGAAAAAAAAACACATTTAACTGGGTTTTTGTTTATTTATACTTGGAAGTGTATTTGTCCGATTCACCTTCATGTTACAATTTGTTAAGTATCTCAGAATAAATATAAGAATAAGCAATATACACGGCTGTTCTTTGGAATGGGGAGTGGTGGTTCCAGGAATCCTGTAACACCGAAATCTACAGATGCTAAACTCCATCATGTGAAAGGGCATAGAATTTGCATATAACCCAAAAAGACTCCCCTGCACACTTTAACTCATGTCTAGATTACTTATAAGCCATGTAAGTGCTGTATTAATAGCTGTCACGCTGTGTTGTTTAAGGAATAATGGAAAGGAAAAAATTGTGCATGTTTACTCCAGTCAAAACATTAAGAAAAAAGTCTTCTGTCCATGGTTGGTTAGACCTACAGGTGAGGAACTCATGAATAGAGGGCTAAGCACAGTAATCTTTAACTTCTAACAGGGAGGGAAATCTTTGAACTTTAGCACATTCATTGTGTGTCAATGTGTGCCCAGTCCAATCAAACACTAAGGGAAATAATGCATCTTCTCTACAAAGGTCTCTCAGTCCTGGTATTGTTGACATTTGGGCTTGATGAGTCATTGTTCTGCACAGTACATAATGTTTCCCAGCATCATTGCTAGATTTCAACAGCAGTCCCTAGAAATAATAACTAGAACTATTTCCACACATTGTCTAACATCTTGGGAGGGGGCAACTTCTGTTTAAGAGCTCTGCTCTAGACAAAAAGCACTTTTTATGTTAACATGAAATGAAACAGTATTTCTGTCATTCTTAGCATCAAGATACAACTAACATATTCTAAATATAAGAGCTGGGTGGTGTGGAACATACTTATAATCCTAGCACAGTTTGGAAGGCTAAGGCAGGGAGATCACGGGCTTGAGGCCTGACTAGTCTAAATAGTTAGGCCCCTTCTCAAAAAACACAAAGAAAGAGGATAAATTGCCAGAATAGAAATAATGTAGAAAATAATGAAAAAAACAACAAGAAAGTAATATATACTTACTCTAATCCAAAAGAACCATATGCCAATATTTCGAATTCCTGCCATCGAAGTAAAAATAAAGTACACAATAATAATTGTTATAAGAATATAATCAAGAGGGAACACCTGAAAAAAGATGAAGATCAAATTTAATCACCAAGCTAAAAAAGTGCTAAAATTCATATAAAATAGCTGGAAGCTTCATTTTACACACACACACACACACACACACACACACACACACACACACTTGATTATTTATATTTGATATTTAAGTATCAACCCTGTTTCAGATTAAGTTAATATGATAATACCATAAAAAAAATCCTCAAAAACTAAACAATGAAAAAACTCAAAACCCAACTACCAACATGCTATCAGTACAAATATCCTAAGAAAAATCCTAAAATAAACATGTTATATTTTTATATATGAAATAAAAGACTTCATTAAAAATGTCAAAACCAAATACTGTCTGGAAAAGTTCATCTTTTGTAAAACTTGGCATCCCACATAAAAAGTCTGCCAATATAAGACTCTTTAAACCAGTATCAGTGTAGTAACCATATGCAAATTAAAAAATTAGCAAAGGGCCCAAACATATGTCTAAGTTTCACAAGTCTGCATCTGACTTTAATGGAACAGAATGACACAATGTTTTGCTGGAGTATAAAATGACTGATGTGTTACTTACTGTCTGTAACAAAGGCAAAAGCATGTTCAATGGATTACTCAGGTTAGTTCCAAAAATTATGAAACCAGAATCTATCCCAGCTGAATGAAGAGCTTTATCTAAACTAAAACAAGAAAGTTATAAAGAATGAATTTACATCATTATGATCACATTTTCAGTTCAGCTTGGAAGAATGTCATCATAATTTAAGCATGCAACTGCAGCTGAGTCATAGAAAACCAATGAAAACAAATAAAACCTCACTTAAACATCCCACAGAAATCATTCAATTGAAAAGGGTGAAAGAAGTACTGTCTATTATTGGACCTTTTAGTGATTCTTTGGATTAATGCTATATAGCACTTAAGGTAGAATAGCTATTTAAAATGAACAGGCTATACTAATGGACTTTGGCATCAAAATATATAATATCAAAGAATTTATATAAGTGCTTTAGAAAGTGCTTCTACTGTACTTACTTTGACAGGAAGAGAGAAATTACAAACAGCAATGCAACTAAGATGAAAAATATCCCCCAAATGATCTAAAAGCAAAAACAGATTCATTACAATATAGTTCTAAATGTTGATTCTAAAAGCAAAAAATCATTAAGCTCAATATGAGTGGGTACTACATAACAATGACTAACTGAAATGATGCAGGTTACATTTCTATTCAATATATAATCCCAGGCACTGTGCCTAAATTTTCATGAGACTATTTGATTAATATTGCATAAACGAAAGAGGCAAAACATTTAAAAAGTCTTCAATAACAAGTAAACGTGTAAATTTCATTTGATCAAAAAAATTGTTCTGGGCTGGAGAGATGGCTCAGCAGTAAAGAGCACTGACTGCCCTTGTAAAGAACCTGGGTTTGATTCCCAGCACCCATATGGTCGCTAACAACCACCTGTAACTCCAGTTCTAGGGGATCCAACACCCTTTTCTGACCTCCACCAGCAGTGCACAACACAGGTGCACCTACCTACATGCAAGCAATACACTCATATTCATTTAATAAAAATAATAAATAAAATTTTAAACTTTTGTTCTATTACATTCAAACAGACTTCAACATTAACTGAAACATACACTAAAGAGGTGATTTCATACACACACACACACACACACACACAAACACCCCCCCCCAACAGAGTGTTATAAATATATCTCAACCCAGAAAAGTCTGTATAAGTCAAACTCTTGACACAGCACTAACTGGAGAAACTATTATATAAAAATGTTTCCATAGAAAATATGTTAAACATTTTAAGTTTTTTTTTCCCCTCCTACTATATGAACTTTGTGTTAGGAATGGCCAAAAACAAAAGGAAAGGAAATAATATATTGGAACTGAGTTTCTAAAGGCCTATTTCAATGAGAAAGACATGGACTCTGGCAGTGGCTTTTTTCTCCCTGTCCCTCTCCCACAAGTCCAACGGACACTTGGGTTAAAGAGCTGACTGACAAGTGGACAGAAGAAAGTCCTTTTTTTTAAAAAAAAAAAAATATTTTTTTTATTTTATGTGTATGAGTGTATTGCCTGCATGTATGTGAGTGCACCCGTGTTGTGCAATGCCTGTGGAGGTCAGAAGAGGGCTTTGGATTCCCCTGGAACTGGAGTTAAGTACAGATCATAGCCACCATGTGGGTGCTGGGAATCAAACCCGGGTCCTCTGCAAGTGCAGTCAGTGCTCTTAATCACTGAGCCATCTCTCTAGCCCAGAAAAAAGTACTTTTAATGCTAAGCCCCAAATGAGTTTGGTTTGGCCTTTGCTTTGTTCAGAGTTCACAGAAACACATGAATAAAAAAGTCTATTTCAGAATGCTCAGGGGATAAAAGAAGTAAATACTAGCATATTATTCCACCTGCCTTATCAAGACGATTTGGGGGAATAATAACTTTGGAAACAATTTTAGGCTTGTCTTCTGGAGAATTCGTCAGTTCAGAGTAGAATGCCTTTGGGTCTTGGTGGGAAGAAAGACAGCAACAGAGAGGACCGAGAACACTGTGGCCGGCTCTTGAGAGAAAGTGATGCTATAGCAATCATCTTCTATGGTAGCCTCCGTTGGTAATTCATTATTTATAAAGGGTTTCAGGGGTAAGGACTTTGAAGCAACTTCACTGTAGCAACAAATGTTCAGCATAAAGGGCATGAAAGGGTAACATTATTTTTCTACTAGATTCAGATGACAATATTTGATACCTAGGTAACATGGAGGGCAGCCGTCTTATATGGAGGACCGACAAATACGGCATATTACTTTCTAATTGTCTGTTAACAAGAAATGCTTGGCACATGAGGCAGTGTAACTGCCAGCTTCCAACTAGTAGCTCTGGACACAACACAGAAATAGGACTTGAAGGTAAGATTCCCTTTCCTTGATATTCATGTTGGCAAAAAAAACAAAGAAATACAAAATCTGTAGCTATTGCACCAATGTACTGTATAGACTATTTAATCAGCTACTTAAGAGAACAGCAGAATAAATGCAAGAAAGATAAATACTTTAGAAAGGCCAAGAAAACTGCATGTATACATGACCTTGCATTAGTACTAAAGATCATGTCAGTGGTGATAAGGCTGAAGTCTACCTAGAAGCTATGCATTACACTGTAGCCAGGACTCCAATTTCAAAAGGAAAATGCAGCTGTGGATGTGGCACTCACTGTTAATAGCAGAGTAAGAACCTGTGAAGATTTCCTCTTCATAAAAGCAATAAGCAAACTAGCATAAATTGTTTAAATCTATTTTTCTACATATGGAAATTAATCAAAGGGATACAGCAATACAAGAGCATTAATTCAAGAAAAAATTAGTGGATCTTAGTGAGAACACAGAATTCTGGGAAACTTTAACTAGCTCTAGTTTCAAGCTTCCCTCTCTGATGCTGTTGGTTGTCTTTAAAAATAGCCACAGAAGCCAGCAGCCTAGAGGTAATACAAGGCAGCAAAACAGGGTTGAAGCTCTTTTCAAGTCTTATTCCCAGAAAATTGTCATGACTTGACCTGGCTGGTGGTTCTCTAGAAGACTGTACTTAAAGGCTGTGTGTACTTGACCTGAATTGGTGTTCACACAGAGCTAAAAGCCTTTTTCCGAGGAGTGCTGGCTGAAAACAATTACAAGAAATCTATGGACTTCATAACTTCAAGAGCCAGTGGACAATGTCCAAAAAATAAACTAACCAAGAAGCTGAAAAAAGAAAAAGCTTAGGGAATGAGATACATCAGAGTTTTGAGGCTCTCATATTCCTCAGAGCCATGAAGGAGCTACGTGTACTCAGGCTTTTGCGCATGCTCAGGAAAGATCTAAGAAGGCCTAAACTCCTACTGCTGGCTGACAATGAGACTGCACAAGAGGAAAGTAAGTAAAGGCTGGGAGACATTGGTTGCAAGTCTGAGGAAATCTCTATCTAAATCACTATCTAGCTGTGCAGGGAGTAGAGTGAACACACAACAAAGAATAAAGACCATATGGAACCAGTTCATAAGAATCACACAAACAAATAATGATCTTGGGCAGGTAGTATCAAGAAACCCTGAGGATGGATAATCATCAAATAAATAAATAATATAGAAGCGTGCGTAGAACCAAACCAAGAAAATATAGTACACATAGAGGGTATAGAACAAATTCATAGGTACATCAGGAAACCAAACATCTAATCTCAATGTGTTCAAAAACACAAAAACAAAAACAACAAAAAAATCAATCTACAATAAGGAGATCCAAGCCAGCTGGGGATACAGGGAGACCCTGTCTCAAAAAGGGGAAAAAAAGATGAAGAAAAGGAAAAAAAATGAAAAAAATAAAGTAAAATCAATGCCTTAAAATAATGTCTTAGCAAATATGGCATATTACTTTCTAATTGATATTGTTATCAATCAAAACAAAAAACTATTAAGAAGTGAACTGAAATTTGAAGGTGAAAAGTATGATAAATAAAAGGTTCATGAGAGGACTGAGCAGCAGACTTGAGCACACAGAAGAATTAAAGAGAAGAAAAGTCAAGTGAGGTGAACTAAACCGAGCAAGAGAAAGAAGAAACAATGAGGAAAAGTGAAAAGACGTGAGACATCATTAAGCAGACTAATAAAAACACAATGGGATTTAAAGAAGGAGGGGGAAATATTTAAAGAATAAACAAAAACCTTTCCAAACCTGATGGAAAATATTAACTTATATATTCAGGAAACTTCACGTAGAATAAATCAAAGACACAAAACCTACACACATTGAAAATGAGAGAGCCCATCCCCACCCCTAAAGTGAACACCAAGGGAGAAGAGACTATCAGGTAAAACTGATCCTCATTCATTCAAAATCTAAAGACAGGTATAAAGACAAACTAGTAAAACCACATAAAATGAGCTAAGGGTATACAGCTCAGTGGTGAAAACAATTTTTTTTGACCATGCAGGAGACCCTTGTCCAATATCCAAAAGGAAATGGAAAAAGAACAGTAGTTAAGATGTACAGGTTCATAGAAAGGCTCCCGCTCCCAAAACTGACTCCAAGAAAATAAATCAAAACAGAAAACTAAAACAAGTAAAGGACCCATAGGGGGGTGCATACATGTCTATTATGTAAAAAATGAAAAATTCTGAACTTTATATCTGACCTAAAGATTTTAGCTAAGGCTGTTTAGATCTATGTTACTGTTATGGAATAAATGTATGTGCAGCCCCCTCTGCCCATATGTATGTTGAAGCCCTTATCTTCTGGGGGTGAGGCCTTTGGGGAGTAATTAGTAAAGATGGGGTTATAAGGATGGAGCCATCATGATGGAATTGGTTCCTTGTAAGACTAAGAAACCATAGTTTTGCTCTTTATACTGTGTAAAGACACAAGAAAGGGCAGCCATCTTAATCCAGGAGGAGTGTGCTACACAGGAACTAAATCTACCAGAACTCTAATGTCTGTTGCTTAAGCCAATACAGACTGGTTTTTAATAACAGTTCAAGATAAGACAAATATGCCAAATATGTTAAATACACATGCATATGAAACCAGAAAAAAAAAAACCAGTTTGGTTAGATGGAGCTAAATAATCTGGGTTAGAAGTAGATTAAAGTGTGATTGTGTGTGTGTGTGCATGCACGTGTGCATGCATGCGTGTGCACACATGCACAAGGGAACACATGTGTGTATAATTAAACAGAATTTTTAAGAGGAGGTATATGAAATAAAAAATACAAGCTAAGGAACAGATTACAATATAAAAGGTATATTATCGAATAGCAGTGGAAGATGAAACCTTAAAAAAAGTAACACTGGGGCTAGAGAGATGGCTTAAGATCACTTGACTGTTCTTGCAGAAGACCCAGCTTTGAATCCCAGCATCCACATGGCAGCTAACAACTGTCCATAACTCCAGTTCCAGGGGATCCCCAGCTTTGAATCCCAGCACCCACATGGCAGCTAGCAACTGTCCATAACTCCAGTTCCAGGGGATCCGACAGCCTCTTCGGTCCTCTGCGGGCACTGCATGACACGAGTGTGCTTAACTACATGCAGGAAATACACGCATACACATAAAA